AGCCTGCGTGGCTGGGCCAGTGCGGGGAGTGGCCGAGGGGCCGCCCTGCAGGGCAGCGGCTCTGGGGAGCTGGAGGGTCCCGGCACGAGGACATGCATTGGCTCATAGGATCCCCTGAGAACCGGCTGGAGCGGCGAGGGCGGCCCGCGGGGCCAGTCAGGAGGCCACTTCCGTGACCCCCTTCAGGGACCATCCTGGCCCAGGTCAAGATGGGAGCCACGCTCAGGGGAGGCCCTGGGGGGACCTGAGGACACACTTGGGACATCCCAGAAGAGACTTCCTTTCAGGGGTTGGGGCCCCTGGGAGCCGGCCAAAGAAGCACATCCAGGAAGGGGCCTGGGTGGAGCCAGGTGGCGGCCATTGGTGACCCTCGGGACAGCAGCACTGGGGGGCAGGGGAGCTGGAGGGAGTTTAAAGAGAATGGGGCCCTAGCCAGTTGCCTGGCTCAGTGGTTAGAGCCTGCTGACTGAAGGGTCACGGGTTTATTTCCGTCAAGGACAGGTACCTCGGTGCAGGCTCAGTCCCAATGGATGTGTCTCTCTCACATGGATGTTTCTCTCTGTGTGTCTCTCCGCCTCCCTTCCACTCTCTCTAAAAATCAACGGGAGAAATATCCCCGGGTGAGGATTAACAACAACAAAAAGCCTGAGAGGCGAGTAACCGAGTAATCCAAGCACCAAGTCTCTGCAGTGGTTTTGCACAGCAAGTGGTGGTAGCTGAGGAGTGGCCACCAGAGGGCTGAGTTCTGCTTGGTTATGAGAGAGAAGAGCACCCTTACTGGGTCTGGAAAGGACTTTGCAGAAAGGAAGAGTGGAAGATGCCAGAGAGTCGGGGACCCCCACAGTGACCCCGCTCTGTGGACCCAAGGGGTAGGGTCTGGAGAGGGTGGCTGGCACAGCACAGCCCCTCTTGGGCGTCGACAGGCCAGGCTTGGGCGCCGCGTGTATCAATCATGGGACCTCAGGAGGGTTTCTCGACTTCTCTGTGCCTTAGGGCCCTGGGCCGCAGAAGAGGGGTGTTGAGGGCTGGATGGGGGAGTACAGCAGCCGCCCTCGGGTGGGGTCCGGCGTGGTAAACCCCCTCAGCTTGGAGCCTGACATGTGCTGGCCTTCAACGCCCACACCCACCTGCCGAAGACCACACGATAGGAGGACACTGCCCAGGAGAATGTTCCAAACGGGGTGATGGCGCCCTGCTGAGCTCCTGGGAAGGAAGTGGACAAGCAGCTCCTGATCCGCTTGGAGGGGCCCGCCCTTCTCACTGCTGGGAATTATCATAATACACATATGCACCATCGATGAGATGCAAAGAACACTGCCTGGCCCTGGCCGTTTGGCTCAGTGGATAGAGCGTCAGCCTGCGGACTGAAGGGTCCTGGGTTCGATTCCAGTCAAGGGCACATGCCCAAGTTGCAGGCTCAGTCCCCAGTAGGGGTCGTGCCGGAGGCAGCAGATCCATGATTCTCTCATCATTGATGTTTCTCTCTCCCTTTCTCTCTGAAATCAATAAAAATACATTAAGAAAGAAAAAAAGAGAGAGAGAGAGCACTGCCTTAGCAGGCATCCTTGAGCAGCGGGCAGCCTACCCAGCCACGCCAACCTGTGCTCAGATGTGAGACGTGTCCCCAGGGAACTGTGCCAGAGCCCCTGGTCTGGGCTCAGACTGAGCACAGGTGGTACCCCTTGAGAACAGAGGCATGTATCTGTGCCCCCCACCTACTGAAACAAATACCTTAACACACACACACACATGTGGACACCTTCCCTACACCCCCATCAGTACTGTCACCTCTGGCCCACCCTGACCAGCCACCCATCTGCCACCTCTCACGTGCTAGCACCAAGCAGGACACGTGGACACCCTGCCCACTTGCCCCTCACAGACCTGCACCCTGAAGTCCTTGCTGTGTCCCCAGTGTGTGCTGGCACCCCTGCTCCCGTCCTCCCAGGCCCAGGCAGGCACAGACATCATGCGCACAGGAGGGTAGCTCTGGGCTGGGAGCGTCCACGTTCTCTCCAGCCCCGGCCAGCCCTGTCCCCTGGCGTGGGACCCGCACACCCCCCCAGGCTGGAGCTGGGAGAGGACACAGGCAGGGCTGTGTGTTAGTGCCTGGGGGCCTCTGTAACAAATGACCACAGACCACAGACGGAGTGACCCCCTTCAGGGACCATCCTGGCCCAGGTCAAGATGGGAGGCATGCTCAGGGGAGGCGCTGGGGGAAGCTGAGGACACATTTGGGATATCCCAGAAGAGACTTTTTTTCAGTGAAAGTCATTCCCTCACAACCCTGGAAGCCAGAAGTTCAAAATCAAGGTTGGCAGGGCCATGCTCCCTCCCAAGTCTGCAAGGAGAGCCCTGTCTTGTCATTCTGGGTCGGGTGCCCCAGCCGCTGCCTCTGTCTTCACGAGGCCTCCCCCTGGCTGTCCGTCTCATCTCCCGAGGGCGTGGATTGAGGCCTGCCCAGGCAATCAGGGTGACCTCACCTCAAGATCCTGGGCTTCGCCCTAACCGGTTTGGCTCAGTGGATAGAGCATCAGCCTGTGGACTGAAGGGTCCCGGGTTCGAGTCCGGTCAAGGGCATGTACCTTGGTTGTGGGCACATACCCAGTAGGGAGTGTGCAGGAGGCAGCTGATCAATGTTTCTCCCTCACTGATGTTTTTAACTCTCTATCCCTCTCCCTTCCTCTCTGTAAAAAATCAATAAAATATATATTTTTTTAAAAAAGATCCTGGGCTTCATGAACAGACCCTTTCCCAGTGAGGCCACATTCACAGGGTTTGGCATTAGGAGGCGGACATGTCTTTTTAAAAATGTACTTTTCCCCCTGGTTGGTTTGGCTCAGTGGATAGAGCAACGGCCTGCTGATTGGGTTTGATTCCGGTCGAGGGCACATGCCCGGGTTGTGGGCTTAATTCCCAGAGGGGGGAGTGTGGGAGGCTGCCGATCCGTGATTCTCTCTCATCATTGATGTTTCTATATTTCTTCCTCTCTGAAATCAATCAATATATATATGTACTTTTATTGATATTTAGAGAGGGGAAGGGAGAAGGAGAGATAGAAACATCGATGAGAGAGAAACATCCATCAGCTGCCTCCTGCACACCCCCCACGGGGGATGGGCTGCAACCCCAACATGTGCCCTGATGGAGAACTGAACCTTGACCTCTTGTGCAAGGGTCGACGCCCAGCCACTGAGCCACTGGACAGGCCGAACATATCTTTTTGAGGGAACACCATTAGCCCACTAGGGCACGGGAACCGGTGTATCTGGAGCTGCAGGGACTGGGGGCACAGCTGGGGGTTGTACCAACAGGGCAAGATAGAAACTGGGAGTCACCCTGACTTCTGGCCTCTCCATGTCCGCAAGTCCCAGACTTCTTCCCTCCGAACCTTTGCCCTGTCTGCCCACCCCCCCACCCCGTCGGGGCCTCCTCAGGGACCCACTTGATCCAGGCCTTGGTGACCCCTCAACTTCTGACCCACTTAGAGCTGATCCACTCATCGCCCTGAGCTCCTTCCCATCCACAGGCGGCCACACCCCCCTGCACCAGCTCTCACACTCCTGAGGTCCCAGACAGGGCAGAAGCCTCCCCGGAGCCCCGGCCCTGAGCCACCCAGGCCACAGTCTTGAAGGAAGAAATGAAGTGACTGTGATGGTGGGCAGGGTGCAGCGGTGGCCGTGCTGGGTTTGTGGCAGCTGAGCCCTGACTTCTGTGGGATGCAGACAAGTCACTGGGGGCGGGGAGGCCCAGGGGTGGGCTGGCCAGTGGAGGCAGGAGGGCTGAAGGAGGGCAGCCGGCGGCCAGGGTGGCTGGGGCTCTCACCCTGGGCCAAGGACCGCGGAG